TTGATGACCTCTTGCTTTCTTCATGTATGATGTCCTTGATGTCATTGCACAACTTGTCTGGTTTTCGGTCATTACTATTCAACGCATCAAATGTATTCTTGAGATGGTCTCTAAATTCAGGTGGGGCATACTCAAGGTTGTACTTTGGCTCTCGTGGAATTGTTCTAATTTTCTTCGGTTGCAACTTGAACTTGCATATGAGTAATTGATGGTCTGATCTGCAGTCAGTCCCTGGCCTTGTTCTGACTGATGATATTGAGCTTTTCTATCCTCTCTTTCCACGGATGTAGCAGATTTAATTCCTGTGTATTCCAAACTGGTGAGGTCCACGTGTATAGTTTCCGTTTATGTTGGTGAAAAAGGTATTTGCAATGACAAAGTCGTTGGTCTTGCAAAATTCTATCATGTGATCTCCAGCATTGTTTCTATCATCAATACCATATTTTCCAACTACGGATCCTTCTTTGTTTCCAACTTTCACATTCCAATCACCAGTAATTATCCATCTACCCTGATTGCATGTTCCATCAATTTCAGCCTGCAGAAGTTGGTAAAAATCTTCAATTTCTTCATCTTTGGCCTTAGTGGTTGGTGCGTACATTTGAATTAATAGCCATATTAACTGGTTTTCCTTGTAGGCATATGGATATTATCCTATCACTGACAGCGTTGTACTTCAGGTTAGATCTTGAAATGCTCTTTCTGACAATGAATGCAAAACCATTCTTGTTCAAGTTGTCATTCCCGGCAGAGTAGACCATATGAGAGTCATATCCAAAATGACCACAATACCAGTTCATTTCAGCTCACTAATGCCTAGGATATTGATGTTTCTGTGTTCCATTTCATTTTTGGCGATTCCCAATTTTCCTAGATTCATGCTTCATGCATTCCCGGTTCCAATTATTAATGGATGTTTGCAGCTGTTTCTTCTCATTTTGAAACATGCCACATCAGCAAATGAAGGTCCTGAAAGCTTGACTCCATTCATGTCATTAAGGTTGACTCTACTTTGAGCAGGCAGCTCTTCCCCAGTCATCTTTTGAGTAGCTTCCAACCTGAGGGGCTCATCTTCCGGCACTATATCAGACAGTGTTCTACTGCTATTCATAAGGTTTTCACTGGCTAATTCTTTTCAGAAGTAGACCACCAGGTCCTTCTTCCTAGTCTGTCTTAGTCTGGAAGCTCAGCTGAAACCTGTCTGCCATGAGTGACCCTGCTGGTGTTTGAATACTGGTGGCATAGCTTCCAGCATCACAGCAACACACAAATCCCCAGAGTATGACAAACTGACAGATGTGTAGGGGTTGAGCGGCTACTAGGTAGCTATTACCTACCAACTAGGTGTTGGGCATACAACAATCACAAGGGCCTTACCATCTAGTGGAATGTTTTGGACACACTAAGAGTCAATTTCAATAGTTAAGCAAGTTTAATCAGATACAGTAATTAAGGTGGGCTTAAGTCATTTGCAGCCCTAGTAGCGCAGTGGTTAACAGTTACAGCAAGCTACGGCTGCTAACCAAAAGGTTGGCAGTTCAAATCCACCAGTCAATCTTTAGAAATCCTATGAGGCAGTTCTACTGTCCTATAGGGTCACTATGAGTCGGAATAGACTCAACGGCAATGGTTTCAACAGAGTTTTTAAGTCACATGGGGTGGAAATGTACCATGGTGGTTAAGAGCATGGAATCTGCACCTGAGTGCTTGGGCCTGAATCCTAATTCCACCACTTGCTGCTATCTGACCTTGGAAAAGTTTATTAAGATGTCTGTTGCCTCAGTTTCCCCACAGGTAAACGGAGAATAATTATCAAATGCAGAGAATGGTGGAAGGACTACATGAGACTATACATGTAAAGCACTCAGCAGAATATCTGGAACACAAAGTAAACACTCAGTAAATGTGAATTGTTATTATTATATGATGCTGCGGAGCCCATATAACGTGGAGCTCATAGTTTCGGGGTAAATCAGGGAAGGCTTCTCAGAGGAACTAATATATGAAATGAGATCTGAAAGATGATAGGGGTTAGCAGGTAAAGGGACAGGGTATTGGGAGTAAAGAGAGTCTATACCAGGCAGAAAGAACACATGGATTCTTTAGAACAGTGCTTTCTCAAACTTTATTGTGCATACAAATCATTTAGGGGTCTTGTTAAAATGCAGATTCTGTTTCAGTAGGTCTAGGGTGGGATATTTCTAACAAAGTGCCTATACCAATGCTGCTGGTCCCTCTTCCACACTTGACACTTCCACTGAATGGTAAGGTTCCAGCTGGGTGCAAAATCCCGGGAGGAAATAGTAAACTACGGATATCTAGGATAAAAATTGCAAGGGGGTGGGAATTGGGGACTGCTGGATAAGGACAGAGTAGGAGAGATGAAATTTAAGATGCTAATCAGCTGATCACTGCCCAAGAGGCTAAATCACAAAGGGCCTTATGAGTTAAAAAATAAATAAATTAAAGATTTAGAACACCACAAGGGCTTCAGCTACCTTGTGGAAAAATGGGTTGAAGGGGAAACCCACTGGGAGAGCAGACACCAATTAAAAGGTTTTTAACTGTTAACTAGGTGAGAAATGATGGTGGTCTGAACTAAGGTAGTGACCTAGGGGAGGGAGAGAAGCGGAATAATTCAAGAGATATTAGAGGATAGAATTGACAGATTGGTGATTGATTTGCTTAGGGGATGAAGGAGAGAAAGGACGCAGAATTAGGTTATCAGGCTTGCTTCAGTTGCCAACAGTTGAATAGATAACAATAAAACACATGGAATGTAGCTTTCATCAATAGCAAGCATAGGCAGTGTTGTCTTTATCTCAGATGCTTCTGTTATTTTTGGCAATTGTAGTACTGCTTTCTTCAAACTACCTTTAATCTGCCAAATTTCTGCTCAAGGCTTACCAAGGAAACACAAAACCAGGAAAGTAAGTCTGTACTTTAAAGTTTGGCACTTACTCTGTTACTTTGTTCGCTAGCGCTTTGGGTGTATTGGTCTCCCTAAATTAGCTATCACTTTTTGAGGGTATGGACCATGTTTGCATTTCTCACAGTGCTGATGACCAACTAGGCACTTAATAAATGCTAGTTAACTGTTTGATTGAATAACATCTATATGGTTACATACCATTGTCATCTCCTATCTCATAGAAAGATGATAAAAATAATTACAATTGTAGAGTGGTGTTTTACAAGCATTAGAAATGCCATCAATTTCTCTGGATTATCAGAATCCTCTGAGACACTTATTTCCGGGCACTTTGGACAACAATGTGTTTGACCATAGCTTCACTGAATTATTTTAATAGAATGGAAGCCTGTCCCATTACTGTTGAACTTGACTGCCACCTACTGTTCACATAGTAAAGTAATATTTTGGGCTGCCTCCACCTCCATTATTTACTGTTGAATTTTTGTTTTCCCCAGAAAGCTTTCTGTTTTGAGTTTTTAACCACATTATATATAATTTTATAATAGTTCCTTGGTTTCATGGTAACAGTCTAGCATGATATTGACATTTTTCTCTTGTGGTCAAGAGTTTTTGGCTTTATGGAATATTAAATATTTTTTACTTAATGACACGACAGTCTTTTCATAACTTTTTTTTGGGAAAACTAAATGAAAAAGGTCATGGAATTCCTGAAGAATTTTTGGCTACCATAAATGTTATTAAATTGGACGTCTATCTTGGCCACACTTCGGTTTCTTCATTTCAAATGTTAACTTTTCTGTAAAGCTTTCCCTGATTCTTTAAGTTGTGTGTAAATTCTCCCTTCCACAATTACTGTTATAATGAATCAAACAAAGGAAGGAAGACAAAATTGCCAGTTCTTTGTTAAAAGCTTTATGAATTTTTCTCATTCTCCCTTCTCTTGGCTCATGTTTTTCTTTTGCAGACAAATAAGCTGAACTGGACTCTCAATTGTAACAATCTTGTAACGTGTTTTTTTTTTTCTTTCTTTTTTTAAGAAGGGAACGTTTTGGAAGGACAGGGACAAAAGCAGCCAGGTGTTGGGTGATCTGATGAAGTCTGTGGCAATTCACTTTGTCTCTGAATAGCGTGAGACTTTAGCCAATTCACTGTACTTAGGTACTAGATAGTGAAGATTTCAAAGATTAAAGAAGTGACAGCAGACGAGGACTCACACTCTTGCATATTTTCCCTTTATTCCCTGTTTTAGAATAAAACGGTCAATTCAAAAGGGGGCGCGGATATCAAGCAACGAGAAATTATTTGAGTAAACTTCTGGCATAATTTAGATGTCTGGGAGTATTTCAGACAGGCTGTACTTAATGGGGAGGCTGTGTGTGGCGTGACCAATGCGGAGATTTAAGATGAAGTACCGGGTCCACTACAAATTACCTATCTGGCCTCTAGCAAGTCTCTTGAGTTTCCTCGTCGGATTGATCACTTCCTCTTTAGTACATCGCATGTATGTCTATCAAGGCCTCTCTCAGGCATTTGTGTGCTTTTCCCTTTTCTTATTCAAGGTCACATAGCTGTGGGACGAAGCCCTCCCGGAATCTGCGGCGTCCGACCGACCCTGTGTTCCCTCCCTCATACTTGATCGTCACAATCAGTGATTCGATCCCATACTTGCTATCTCTTCATGGTGAAATGGATCAGATCTCCACAGTTCAGGCAGCCCCACGCTCTGAAGAGTCCTGGAGCCGGGGTGGGGTGGGGGGAGGCGTGAACTGCTCAAGTGAAAGGAGGCAGGACAGGGACATCTTACTCTCGTCCCATCTTTCCGGGCCTTTTCTGATAAGGAATATTTGGGAGAGGATGGAAGGGCGTAAAGGGAAAGAAAAAATTTTTCCTGGTAGGAACACAAATCTTCGGTTCTGACTGTGTTTCCGGAGGCATTTTCATCGGACCTAGCCGGGGATCGACTTCCGGCCCTGACATCGTTTTCTTCGCAGTTTCGGGCTCCGCTCCTTCCGCCCAAAATTGCTCTAGGGTTGTGCTGTGAGCAGGTACTTCCGCCAGGAGTAGCTTGAGGCTTGGGCTTGGAAGTTGGTCGTAAGATTGTCTCCTCCTCCTCCTTCTCTTAACCCGCCCACCTGAGGCTGCGCCCCCTAGGTGGCAGCGACGGCTGCTGGACCTGTCGCAGAGCGTTCTCTGTGGCTGAGTCCTGGGCCTGGAGCGGGAGGGACGCCCGGGCCTGGCCCAGCCCCAGCCCTCGTCTTCCCGCTGCTGGTAACGGTGGCCACAGGCTTCGCCGCGCCCCGGTCCCCGCCCCTGCGGCCTGCCCAGAGCCTGGTCATTCCCCTCAACCTTGCGGCAGTGTAATCTCCTTGCACTTCCAGGACTCGCCACTTCCCGCTGCTGGGTAACATGGAGTTTGCGGAGCTGATTAAGACGCCACGGGTGGACAATGTGGTGCTGCACCGGCCTTTCTATCCGGCCGTCGAGGGGACCCTGTGTCTGACGGGCCACCACCTGATCCTGTCCTCCCGACAGGACAACACAGAGGAGCTGTGGCTCCTGCATTCAAACATCGACGCCATCGATAAGCGGTGAGTGCCCATACCACCCCCTATTCCTCGGGAAACTAGGAGTCCTTAGGTGGACGCTTAAGGGAACGCTTCCCGGTATTTTCCTTGCATACCATTGCCCTACCAGCCGGCAAAATGTGCACTCTTTGGCCTAGATTCAGAACTTGAGTTTTAGAAAGCAGAAAAACACCTAAATGGGATCCATGGTCTGTATTAAATCTGAATGGAATTCTTACGGTCATCACGTGATTGTCATCTTGATTATCCTTTTCGGTGCATAACACCATTTAAGTGGATTTTCAGCGTTGTTTTTGTTATTTCTTCTCCTTGCCCTATCATATTCCTTGAATCGTTGTTAATTATCGTTCATGAAATTGTGATTAAGTGTGATTTAGGTAAAGTCTCTACCTACCTAAAGTCAAGGGGAAAACTCAAGAGAAATGAATATGTAGTTATCAGAGTGTCTAAATTCTGCACCCCCCCCCCCCAAATATATTTGGTTTATCACATTTCTTCTTTTTTCTTACCTTCCGGGTCATCAATTTAATACTTTTCATTAAAGGAGTTTATAATGTTTTCTATTCATCTTTGTTCAGTTCTGCCTTTGGAAAGAACAGGATTGGCTCTTTTGGAAAGAACAGGGTTGGCCTCTTAAGCAGAGGTATGAAGTAGTTAACCTCTGTTTTTGCACTTCAGCGTTTGTCTTTCTGAGGCAGTGTATCAAAGTCATAATGTCATCTCAAAGTTATAATTCCATCCTCAGACGAAATCCTGTTTCCCCAATGCCCATGTCCTCTAGCCAGGAGAAAGTAAATTGATTTATCTAATTTACACTAAAGTATAAGTGAATGGCAATGGTTTTTTCTATTATCTCTCAAGAGAATTTGGATATTAAGAGGATTCCTAGAGAGGTTATGTTGGAAAACAAAATAATTTCTAATGATAGAATTTCAAACAGTATGGATGAAGGTGGATTTCTTTACTTATTTAGGCAGAGGGCTCTTACTACATTCCTCAAGTCACATTTTCCTGTGTAACAGTTTTCCACGGTTTCTTGTTGCCTGCAGAATGAAGTCTAAACTCCTTAGCCTGTCATTCATGACACTCCATCTTCTGGTCCTGACCTACTTTTCCCACTTAATTCTTGCCATTCCCTCCCTCAGAAGGCAAGAATTAAGTGGCTTTACTAGCCACTCCTCACTATTTTTTGTTGCTTGTATATGTCTAGCATTTTCTCATTTCCACATCTTACTGCCATTCCTTCTTTCTGAAGTGCTTTCTCCTCCCGTTTGTCAAATATTTATTGAATGTCTATGTTCCAGACATTTTGTGAAGCACTAGGAACACCAAGATGAATAAAATATAGTTCTTGTCTTTTAGGAGTTTATAGACTGGCATCCAATTGTACCCATCTTTTAGTAGTCATTTTAACCATTTCAGCTGCTACCATCTTTACAGATGCTTCTGTTAATTCCAAAACTGGAAGTAATTTCCTTGATCTTTAAAACCCTATAGCTCTTTAATTATACCTCTCTCATAAATTTGTATTTTATGTTTACATATATGTAAATTGGAAGTAATTTCCTTGATCTTTAAAACCCTATAGCTCTTTAATTATACCTCTCTCATAAATTTGTATTTTATGTTTAAATATATGTAAATTTGTATAAATATGAATTTACATATAAATTTGCATTTTATATATATATATATATTAGATTCTTGAAGCCAGGACTCACATCTAATTAATTTTTTTCATCTCCTTTAAAACTTCCAACTATGGCTTGGGTAGAGTGGGCACCAAAAAAACCAAACCGGTTGCTGTCGAGTTGATTCCGACTCATAGCAACCCTATACGTCAGAGTAGAACTGCCCCATAGGGTTTCCAAGGATCGCCTGGTGGATTTGAAGTGCCAGCCATTTGGTTAGCAGCCGTACTCTTAACCACTATGCCACCAGGGTTTCCAGAGTGGGCACATAGGAAATAAAAGAAGGAATGACCACAGCATGGCCACTGAGCCATAGAATAGAAATCAGCAGTCTCTCCGTGACCTTCAACTCTCTTTTCTTTCTTACGTATCTTTTTTCTTGGTTGCTTTCCACTCATTCATTTCATCATATTTATCTAGCATTCACTAGATGCTGGGCCTGCTAGATTATAAACAAATATGTAAGACATGGATCTTTTAATCTGTTAGGGGAGAAATAACAAACTATACACATTTATCTTTTTCTTGGGAAGCAACATTCTGTAATGGAAGAAGCGTGAGCTGTGTGGTCAGGCCAGAGTTTGATGGTTGCTTTCAAGAAATATTTACTACCATGTCTCTCCTATGTGCTGAGCACTGTCTGGCCTCTGTGGATGCAATGGTCACTAAGATAAGGAGTTTACCCACTAGTGGGGGAGATGAATAATCAATAATTAACAAAAAATAAATACATGATGGTATCATATAAATATATAAGTGCCAGGAAGGAAAATAAGTGAAGGTCAGAGGATAGAGAGTGCCAGGAAGTGGTATATTTAGAAAGGATTTCAGAGGAGGCAAGTGACATTTGAGCAGAGACCTGAGTGGAAGAAGGAAGCTAGCACTGTGAATATCTGGGGGAAGAGCATTTCAGCCAGAGGGGTCACCAAATGCAAAGACCCTAGGACATGAATATGCTTGATCTGGACAGAGAAGAGCAAAGAGACTGGAAGGCAGTGAGCAAGAGTTGGGGGGGGGAACAGGGCATGGCAAAAACTGGGTGGAGTGATAAGCAGGGGATAGATCATATCAAGAAAACAGCAGTCAAGAAATCAAGCAGTGTATTGCATTGGGCAAATCTGCTGCAAAAGACCTCTTTAAAGTGTTCAAAAGCAAAGACGTCACTTTGAGGATTAAGGTGTGCCTGGCCCAAGCCATGGTATTTTCAGTTGCCTCATATGCATGTGAAAGCTGGACAGTGAATAAGGAAGACCAAAGAAGAATTGATGCATTTGAATTATGGTGTTGGTGAAGAATATTGAATATACCATGGACTGCCGGAAGAATGTACACATCTGTCTTGGAAGAAGTACAGCCAGAATGATCCTTAAAGGGGAGGATGGTAAGACTTCATCTTTCGTACGTTGGACATGTTATCTGGAGGGACCAGTCCTTGGAGAAGGACATCATGCTTGGTAATGTAGAAGGTCAGTGAAAAAGAGGAAGACCCTCAACGAGATGGATTGGCACAAAGACTACAGCAGTGGGCTCAAACATAGCAACGATTGTGAGGATGGTGCAGGACCGGGCAGTGTTTCGTTCTGTTGTACATAGGGTCGCTATGAGTTGGAACCGACTCAGTTGCACCGAACAACAACAGATCACATAGGGCCTTTTAGACCATTGTAGTGGCTTTCCTGGAAAGCCCTTGGAGGGTTGAGAGAAAGGAAGTAACATCTGATACACTTTTTAGAAGATCATTCTGGCTACTGGTAGAAAATGGGTTGTTGGGGGGCAGGTTATTGTTCCTTCCTGAAACCTCAGAATGTGACCTTATTTGGAAATAGGGGCTTTGTAGATGTAATTAGTTAAGATGAGGTCATATTGAAGTAGGGTGAGCCCTAATCCAATACGATTGGTGTCCTTATAAGAGACACAGACAGACACACAGGGAGAACGCTGTGGACCACAGAGACGGAGATTGTAGTGATGTGTCAACAAACCAAGGATTGTCGGCAGTACCATCAGTGGCAAAGAGAAAGACATGGAACAGATCCTCCTCTTCAGAGCCGTCAGAGAGACCATGGCTCTGTCAACACCTTGATTTCTGACTTCTGGCCTCCAGAACTGTGAGAGAATTTCTGTTGTTTTAAGCCACCCAATTTGTTGTGGACTTTCATGGCAGCCCTAGGAAACTAATACAGGGGGGCAAGGGTTGAAACAGCAGGCTGGTTAGGAGACTGTTGAAGTAATTCAGATAAAATATGATGGTGACTCAGATTAGAATGGAAGCAACAGATGTGGTCAGAAGTATCAGATTTGGGATGTATTTTGAAGATAAAGCTGACATACCTTGTTGGAGAATTGTAAATGGAGTGTGAGAGAAAGAGAGGTATTAAGGATAACTCCTTTAGTTCTGCCTCTTATTAGGTGGGTGCCCTTGGGAAAGCTTTTTAACGTGTCTGAACATCAGTCCATCACATAAGAGGAAGATAATACTTTTCATCTTTAGTAGTAGCTTATATTTGTATAATGCTTTAAAAATCTATAGAATATTTTCTTATATATGGCATACATAATTTTATTTAATCCTTTTAGCATGTAAGGTTTCACACAAGTTTTATAATTATACCTTTTATTTCTTTTTTAAAAAATTTTTATGGGCCTCAGATGCAGATAATTGAGTTAATCCTACTTAGTTGATGACTGATCATGTCCATGATCGATTCATTAAAAAATTTTTTCTTTTTTACTTTATTTTATTCTTTTTGGTTTCTAATTTCCACCATCCCTATAGACAGCCAAATTGTTTTCCTTGGATATATGTATATTACAAAATTTATAGTACTGTTGTGGGAACATATGTGCACACGTGCCTACATGGGTTTAATTTATCTGACTGAGATTATACTGTAGATCTTGTTCTATTTTTTACCATTTTTACTCCATACTCATTTTGAAGACCTCTTCATATTGTCGTATGTACATCTATTACACTTCTTCTGACTGCAGCATAGAATCTAAAGTATCCAGAGTATCTACCACATTTTATTTATCTGACCCTTTAGATAACCTCCAACTCTGGTGAACATACTGGTTTGTGCCCCAGTATAATCTTGTGCAAGAGTTTCTCGAGATTGTGCCTAGGAATGGGGTTGAGCTGTAAAGTAACTGCATATCTAACTTCACAAAGTAATTCCAGTTTACTTTACAGAATGACTGCTCCAATTTGCTCTGTTACCGTGGTGTAGGAAGCCCATAAATAGGCCCTGTTTCCCCATATTCTTACCAACACTTGGTATTACAGGCAGTCCTCGGATTATGAATTCCGTT